CTGCTTTTCTACAATCCAGCCTCCATACTAGTTATCAATTATTTCAGTAAAAAATAAAAATTATTTCAGCCCTGACCATTGCTACTTGTCAGGGCAAGTAGAAGGGGTCTCCAGTGTCTTTAGGATAAGTTCAAAATAAATGGTCTAACCCACAAGACTTAAAAAACTCTGCCCTTACATCTCCAGCCTTTCGTTCTACCACACATCCTTTGCTTGGCATACCACCCACCAACCTTAGGTGCTCCCAAATGGGCCATTTAAAAAAAAAAAATACCCCAGGCCTTTGTATATGCTGTTCTGCCAGGAGTTGCCTCCCAGCCCCATCTCCCTAACTCCCTACTTTTCCTTCCAGATACTTACCAAATGTCCCTTTTCCTTGGCAACATTTCCTACTGAATTCGTCTTCTCTTATTCAGGGGCTTCTTTAGGGTCCCCCTCTATGTTCCTGTATATCTTTGCATATCCTCTAAAATGACATTTACCACTCATAAAGCGTAAACTATATTATTTGCATATTCTCTAAAATGACATTTACCACTCATTCCCCCACGCCCCATCTATCTCCTCTACTAAGTCTCTTGAGAGTAGGGCCATGTACTTCATCCTTAGAGCTCCTATGACCTGCAGTGGGTTTATAAGGTTAAAGAAGTTATTACTGCAAACATGGATATATTTGTTGGGTAATTATTTCCCTAATACTGGCTCATTTCCAGAGCTTGAGTGTCTATCCACGATCAGGTACATAGCCTATGGTTTTTCATTTTGGGGTTTTTTTGGGGTTTTTGCCATTTTTTGAGACAGGGTCTTGCTCTTTCACCCAGGCTGGAGTGCAGTGGCGCGATCATGGCTCACTGCAGCCTCAAACTCCTAGGCTCAAGTAATTCTCCCGCCTCAGTCTCCCGAGTAGCTGGGATTACAGGCATGAGCCACTACATCTGACTAATTTCATTTTTGTAGAAACAGGGTCTTGCTATGTTGCCCAGGCTGCTGTCAAACTCCTGGGCTCAAGCAATCCTCCTGCCTCAGCCACCCAAAGTGCTGGGATTACGGACATGAGCCACCATGCTCAGCCTGGCCTATGGTTATTAATAGGTTGGAAAAAGTCTCTAGAGAAGAGATAGTATGTAATGGAGGGGATTAGGTGGTCCCAGGCAGTTACTTCTAGGTAAATTGTTTGAACAAGTCCAACATCCTATGTGTCTTCCTTCTTTCTTTGTTGCCTTCCCTCTCAATCTGTACCACATCAGAGAAATTACAAGTGGCAGCTCCAAAGGTTTCTTCAGTTGACACTGTCTCCCTATGTAGTCCACCTGTGCCCTCTGGTGGCCACAATATGCTACCACATTCCACTTTAAAGATAAGTCTGGCTTCAGGTAGCATGAACAGCAGTTTAATAGGTCTACAACCTTGGAATTAAATTATCTGAGTCTATTGTGGTTTTGTATTATGATTTACTAAAAATATTAAACAATAAGTAAATAGTGCTTGAAATATAATAGACAATAAATCTTAGCTTACTTGCTTTTGAATCAGGCCCTTATGAGTAATGGCACAGAAAACTCTTTGAATTATCATCTGTTGATTAGGCTGGTAGTTCTCAAACACTGAACCCCAAGACCTGTTAGTGGAAGAAAGGGCTGATAAAGCAGGTCCCTGATTCTAGATGGTACTCATTTCATTCCAAATAGGGATAGAATGACAATAGAGTGCATTTATAGAATACTTAGTCTGTAGCAGGTACACCTTTTTATCCTCATGCAACACAATTGAGGTAGGTGCCTAGGCCTAGTATGCTGGCCTGCAGAGAGGATTAGTCAACTGGAGCAGAAGTGGGGTTGCCACTCAAGTGACATTGGAGTGACCAAAGAGGTACAGAGAAGCCATAGAAAGCCTGACGAGGGGTAATACCAACCTCTTTTAGCTTAATAAAATACCAAAAAACCCTGATGTCCAATAGAATCAAAGTTTTAGCCATTGTAAACTGGACTGCAAAAATTTTCTTTTTTGGATGATTTCTATCTTCCAGGATCTAAATCATGACATATTAAGTAAATCAAGAACGTCAAATTTGTTTTTATTAGTAGTAGTAGTATTTTAGATGGAGTTTCACTCTGTCACCCAGGCTGGAGTGCAGTGGCAACCTCTGCCTCTTGGATTCAAGTGATTCTCCTGCCTCACTCTACCAAGTAGCTGGTATTACAGGCACTCACCACCATGCCCAGCTAATTTTTGTATTTTTAGAAGAGACAAGGTTTCACCATGTTGGCCAGGCTAGTCTCAAACAACTGACCTCAGGTGATTCGCCCCCCTCGACTTCCCAAAGTGCTGGGATGTGTGAGCCACCACGCCCGACCAGGGATGTTAAATTTGTTTTTTTAAAAAAGCAAGTTTAAACACATATTTACTGAACATCTACTGTATGCAAAGGACTTAGACAAGCCCTTTCATACTAAAGTCCTGTGTGTATAAATGGAAGCCAAAAGAAACCCTGGAATGACTTTCTGGTGGAGGGACATGGGTTCAACTATAAATGGTATATATTCTGTATACTTATCAATTATATTCTATATAATTCATTATCAAAGAACAGATTATAACCTGGATTGGAATTATATTTGAGGCAACTATTTCCATGGAAAAATTTTGCAAGCCCTTTTAAATGGAGTAAAACCCTACCTTATCTCCAAGCCATTTCTAGTAGAATCAACGCTTAATACAGCTTTAAAAATAAGACAGCTTCAACACATTATATGTGTCTATCAATTTATACACAAATGTTTATTGAAGTGCCTATGATGTGCCCAGCACAGTCCTAGGCACCATTAAGATTATAAAGGTTGACTGACCCCTGCTCTCATGGACCTTACAGTCTAAAGAGCCAGAGAACATCTAGAAAACATCTAAGTGTTTGAGTGGTAGAGACAAGAAGTTCAGAGATGAGGGGAAAACAGGTGGAGTAGTTGCTGGAGTCTCCAAGAAAGCCTGGAAGAAAGAGGATTCCAGTTAGTTCTTGAATGTGTAAGGCCTAGCTTAGTAGAGAACAGGGTGAGGCATTTGGGCAAGGCACACAGGCAGAAGTCAGTACACAGTGAGAGAAAACAGTGACCTCTTCAGGGAGCATTAATGTACACGGAATTGTATCGAGCTAACAAGTTGGAAATGCAGGTTGTAGTCAACTATAGAGGATACTAAAACTCAGCTAAATAGTTTTTTTGTAGGTATTTGAAAGCCACTACAGACACTTGGGCAGGGGAAATGGTGTGGTGCCAATAGATCAAACAATATGTGCAGAATGCACTGCGGGAGAACGGTGAGGGAAGGAATTAGATACCATGGCAGTAATCCTGACACCAGAGGATGATAACAACAGTTAAGGAGCTGACAAAGAAATATAACCACAGGGCTTAGCCAGAAGAGTTTTCCTCTCTCACATGTTAAGAATTTAAAATATGTACAGTACTTTTAATTCAAATGATCGTATTAGTCTGTTAAAAGAAAAATATCCAAAATGAGCGGTAAAAGAATCTATTTAAACATCTGCTGTTTTTCAGTGATTGTTGTTTTGTTAATGTGGAAGCAATATTTTCTATGATTTATCTGCTGTGTCTGTTTTGACTAAGCTATTACAGAAAGAAAAATCACTGAATTGCTATGGGTTTCTGAAATATCCAGAAAAATTAACCTGAAGCAGGGGGGAAAAATGACACCACACCATTAGCAGGTATTTTGTGAAACTTCTGAAAATGAAACTGACATTTATCTTATTAGGAATAAATATACTGTCTAATGAACTCTCTAATGAACCTTCCTCTCACCCTTTCTGGAAAGTGAGAGTCATGCTGGGCTGTATGTTCTCCGCCATGATTCTGATTAACGGGATGCTCTATTATTATAACCTCCCTCCCTGGTTCTATCCATGTCTTATTAAATTTTTTTTTAGAGATGAGGTCTCGCTGTGTTGGCCAAACTGGTCTCAAACTCCTTGCCTCAAGTGATCCTCCCAAAGTGCTGGGATTACAGGCATGAGCCACCATGCCAAGCCTATGTCTTAAATGCACTGTATTTCCTTGTACTCCAGCTCCCTATTAGTGAAATGCCTATTAAAACCTTTGCTAAGGCCAGCGTGGCAGTATGCATCAGTAGTCCTATCTATTTGGGAGGATGGCTTGAGGCTAGGAGTTAGAGACATATGTTATAATCATGCCTGTGAATAGCCACGGCATTCCTGCCTGGGATGCAATATAACAAGACCCCATCTTTAAAAACAAAGTCTTATAGTGCTTCCGGCAAATCAACGGAAAAGAGAAAGAGCTCTAGAGTAAGAACAGTTGTTTTTTTTTTTTTAACAATTAGTGACGGGGGAGTATTGAGATGGCCAGCTAAAGAGAGAAGTTCTAGAACTCAGCTAGACCAGTATATTGCTTTATTTAAATTGGCTCAATATCCTATCTAAAGCTAGACTAGTGGTTTTCAAAGCATGGAGCCTGGACTGCATCAGCTGAGAATATGTTAGAAATGCACATTTCTGGGTCCCATCTGAGGTCTACTGTATCAAACTCTGGGGGTGGGCCTAGCAGCCTTGGGTTTTAACAAGCCTTCCAAGTGATTCTGATGTGAGCTAGATTTGGAAGTCCCTGAGATAGACTTCCTGGAAAGAAGCTGGACCCAGGCCCATAGTGTACTTGATGTTCCTGTGGTTGGTTCAGTTTCCAAACTTGTCTGCACATTGGAATCACCTGGAGAGCTTCAAAACTTCCAATGCCTGTGACCCATCACCAAAGATTGTGATTGAATAGGCCTGGGATATGGCCTGAGCTTTGGAATTTTTAAAGGATTCTCAAGTGATCCTAATGTGCAGACAAGTTTGGAAACCCTTGGATAAATCAAAATACATCTTGAATCAAGGACCAGAGATAGCCAAAAAGAAAAGACAAGACAAGACAACACACGTTATTAAATTCCATTCAAGGAAGTTTCCTGGCTATTTCAGAGTACTGGAATGTTGTCATAATAATATTGCTTTACTTAAATTGGCTCAACAGCCTATCTGAAGAAATCTTTATTCTTGTAAACTACATTTTCTGAAATAAATTCCTGCATTACTTTGTTTGGAGGAAATCTGTAATTTTGGAATCAACAAGGGTTTGTGTCACTCTTTTCATTAAATATTCATCTATGCCATTTAATTGTCCAAAAATGGCATCAGGAACGTCTACACAAGTGGAAAGGAACTGTCTAAGTTTCTGTACACTTGATATGGCTTCTGTGATGGTGACTTTTGGTTGCTGCGGTAAAGATACCTCCCCTTCATCTTCACTTCCTGCTTCACTGGTATTTTCGCCAGCCACCATGCCCTGGATGATGTCTGTGTCCTGAGAGATAATGAGATCATCATCTGCAGTAACAAAGTCCTGGAAATTTACTTCATTTGGGACACAGGTGGCAATAGCCACTGTGTGCCACAACTTTTCAATGGCAGTGTCTGGTTCACTGGCTGCTGATTCTATGTCACATTCTGCAAATTCCATAGGGATGATGCCTGCCTTCTGCCAACATTTGACCACTGTGGATGGCTTGACTGACCACCATGCTGCAGCAATCATGTCGATGGCCTGCTTGATGTCCACCTTTTCTTGATCCTCCCTGCTGCTGAGCTTGAGGAGGATCTGTTTGAGAAGGTGGCTCCGGTATAGTACTTTCATGGTGTGAATTATGCCAAGATTCAGTGGCTGCAGGACAGCAGTACAGTTGGAGGGCAGATACCCAACCTGAATCCTTTCCAAGCGTGGAAGCATGTTATGAGCAGAGCAGTTGTCGATCAGCAAGAGGATCCGGCGTTCCGCCCTCTTCATCCTGGCATCCACTTGCATCAGCCACTCATTAAACAGATCCCTTGTCATCCAAGCCCACTGGTTGGCCCGGTAATCACAAGGGAGGGAATGGATGTTCTTGAGGCAGCGTGGGCTGGCTGACCTACCAACGATCAATGGTCTCATTTTTTCAGTCCCTGAGGCATTGCAACAAAAGAGTGCTGTCAACCGCTGCTTTGCTTTCTTGCCCCCTCTACAATGGTCTCCTTTAGCAGCAAGTGTATGCTGGGGAAGCAACTGGAAAAACACTCCTGTCTCATCAGCATTAAAGATATCATCTGGGCTGTAGTCAGCAATCAGTTTTATAATTTCCCCTGCATGCCACTCGTTAACCTTATCTATTCCTAGACCATTCATTAATCTGTCAGTATCTTCTCTACAGACTGCTTTCAAAGCAATTCCGTGGCGATCTCTAAATCTGTTCAGCCAGCCCACACTTGCTTGAAAATTGTCATAGCCAAGCATGTTGGCCAAGTTTAGTGCTTTTTTCCGAATGACAGAACCAGTCACAAGAATGTTTTTGGCATGGATTTCTTGAAACCAAGCAAAAACAGCCTTATCAATGTCATCATAAAGAGCGCTCCTCATCCTTTTCCGCTGGGGTCCCACGGATGCCTCCCGTACCTTTTTTTCAAATTTGGTGCGATCCTTTAAGAATGTAGATAAAGTAGAGGGAGTGATACCAAATTCTTTTGCCACGTCACCTTTCCTCTTGCCTGAGTCTACAGCTTCCACAACTTTCATTTTCTCTTCCAGAGAGAACTGCCGACGCTTCTTGTTCCCCTTGTTTGCCATTTCCAGGGAGTGAGGGCTGGCCACGACTAACCGGGCTGTCTGGTTCCTCCTCGCAGCTTGCTTTGCCACAAGTGTGGCAAACTGAGAAGACAAAATGGAGTACCTATCAGGAAACAAAGATAATGGATTTCCCCTAAAAGATGGTTCAGGTTTTCACAAATCGTATTAGGAAACGACAATTTATGGTCAAAGTAAAGAGAAGATAGGATTCACGCTACTGACTTTTTGTAGAGGCTACTTATAAAGACTCACAGAATGTTTGAAACAGAAGGGATCTTATTATATGGTTTACTTAAACTTTCTGAAGCCCTTAAAAATGGGAATAACAATGTTTGCTCTGCCTACCATGAGAACAGATTGAAATAGGCAGGGAAAGAACTTTGCATATAGCACTGTGCTGTATACATTCCGAGTTATTATCCAGTTTCTTTGATGGACACAGAAACTCGGGCCCTGGGAAGGGGCCTACCCAGGTTCATGCAGCTTAGATTTCTTAACTCAGATTACTATTTCTGCCAGGCCATGGTCCTGCTTGAAATTCCACCAAAATGAGATCTTCAAAGCTCTACCACCATCTTGCCTGGAAAGATTTTTACTGTGGGAAGATGTTTCTGGTAGCCATACATTCATTTTATATTCATAGGTGCCAAACTTTAAGGGTACAGTAATGAACAAAAGAGTCAAGGTCTCTGTTCTTATGAAATATAAAATGTGGTGGGAAAGATAAATAAGTAAACAAGATAATTACAGAGGGTGATATGTGCTATAAAGGAAATAAAGACTATGACAAGGAATAAAAGAGGAAGATCTACTTACTATACAAAGGGTGGTCAGGGGTGTCCTCACTAAGATGGCACTGAAGCTGAGATCTTCAAGAATATGGGGAAACGGCTGTCCAGCAAAAGACATAGCATCAGCAAAACCTCAAAAGCAAAAATAGGCCGGGCGCGGTGGCTCATGACTGTAATCCCAGCACTTTGGGAGGCCGAGGTGGGCGGTTCACTTGAGGTCAGGAGTTTGAGACCAGCCTGGCCAACATGGCAAAACCCCAACTCTACTAAAAATACAAAAATTAGCCTGGCGTGGTGGTGGGTGCCTGTAATCCCAGCTACTAGGGAGGCTGAGGCAGGAGAATCACTTGAACCCAGGAGGCGGAGATTGCAGTGAGCTGAGATCGTGCCATTGCACTCCAGCCTGGGCAACAAGAGCAAGACTCCGTTTCAAAAAAAAAAAAAAAAAAACCAAAACTAGCTTGAGGTATTCAGGGAACTGAAATATTTGCATGAATCCAAGTATATGACAAAGGTGGGTGGCCAGACCATTCAAAGATGCCATGGTAGGCTGGGTGCGGTAGCTCACACCTGTAATCCCAGCACTTTGGGAGGCTGAGGTGGGTAGATCATGAGGTCAGGAGATCGAAACCATCCTAGCCAACATGATGAAACCCTGTCTCTACTAAAACTACAAAAATTAGCTGGGTGTGGTGGTGCGTGCCTGTAATCCCAGCTACTCGGGAGTTAGAGGCACGAGAATTGCTTGAACCCAGGAGGCGGAGGTTGCAGTGGGCCAAGATCGCACCGCTGCACTCCAGCCTGGCAAGAGCGAGCCTCCGTCTCAGACAAACAAAAACAGATGTCATGGTAAAGAGTTGGTATTTTGAGTGCAACAGAGATCCGCTGACGTTTTCAGGCATTTTAAAAGGATCACTTTGGCTGTTTTGTGGAAAATGGATCAAAGAGGCAAAGAGACCAATTAAGTGACAGATTATGGCAGAAGTGATGGGCAGGTTATAGTACTTCTCTGGGCCTGTTTTCTTTTTTTCCTTTTTTAAATATATTTTTGAAAAGTCCCATGGTTGCAAACCACAAGACCAGATGATGCCTAAGGTCCTTCCAGATGTAAGTCTTGGACCCTAGATAGGTACTCCAAACTCAAATGCCTTTAGGGGCCAGGATGGTGGTGTAAGTGAGTGAAACAGGGATTGAAGTATTTGGAGAATGTTGTGGTGTATCCTGTCTAGAAGTATTCAGAATTTAAAACTAACAGTCCCCCTGCCCCAGGCTGGTCCAACAAAACATGATCCAGCAGTAGCAATTTTGGGTAATTGCCTTCGTAGGCATTTTATCATGAGAATCCTCAAAGGACAAGAGAAACTGCTGTGACTTTACGCTATGATTGTCTCTTCTCAAGGGTAGATTTTTACTATCACCTCCATACATTATCCATCCATTCGTGACATGTACTATGTATTAAGCAGTATGCTTGATGCCAGCCATACAGAGATGAATGGAGCATAGTGCCCACCTTTGAGGAGCCTACCAGGGAAGACAAACACTAGAGCATGTGAAAACTATAGCAGAGGTTACGGAGTACTACTGGAACATAAAAGTACAGATAATCAACTGGAGTGGGGCATGGATGGCAGTGCACTTCAAAGAGGGAACAATATGGTGGGCCTTAAAGAATAAACAAATAGGAACTCATGAGATGAAAGGAAATATTTAATATGAAAGGCGATGAAATGCTATAGAAAATAGAATGTCCTTGTCAGGAACAAAGAACTCCTTGGAGAAGAAAGCAAGGACCAAATCACAGGAAGCCCTAGTTAGGATTCTAGCTTGCATTTGGGGCATTAAGAGACTTTTGACGGTTTTTTGGTTTTGTTTTTTTGGAATGACATGATCAGATTTACAATTCAGTCTTTTGGTTGCAGGGTAGGGAACCTAATGGGTAAAGTTGATTTTCCTAAGAGATGGCCCTAAATCTGAATATAAAAGCAGGCTAGCCCAGTAGGCCATATATAGTTTGGATGTTAATTTGAATGCAATAGGAAGCTACTGAAGGATTTTAAGAGAGGAGAGATAGCTGCCATGTAAAGAATAGAAGGGTATCAGAGAAAAAAGCAGGAGTCCACACTAGATAATGGTGGCTTGGATAAGAGTAGTAATAGCGAGATGGTGAGTAGTAGTCAGTTTGGGGCTATGTTTTTGCAAGCCCTGTCATGGACCGGATGTGAGGTGAAGGAGGAATCAAGGATAACGCCCAGGTTTCTGGTTTGAGCACTGAGCAATCCAGCGGATGATGGTGCCATTTACTGAGGTGGGAGGATCTACTGCGTAAACGTAATTTGTTAAGCACTTTACATGGTTAATATTGCTTACCTGTGGCAGGGCTGGGATTCAAACCCAGGGAGGCTCACAACAAAGCTAGCACTCCAAACACTACAGAGTGCTATATAGCTGGTTCTGGGAACTACTAATATTGAGAGGAGACATAGAAAGAGAATAAAGCGAGAACCAAATCAAAGTCTTGGTCAAGCCAAGTCGTCTGAATTTTATTTTAAGTGAATAAGACACTGGAGGGTTTTAAGCAGGGAGTGACTTGATCAGACAGGGCAAAATGATCAATCTGACTGCTTCGTGGAGAACAGACTGTAGAGGGGATGTGGGGAGAACTACATCAGTCCAGGCAGGAGATGATGGTGGCTAGAAGGTTGGTGACGGCGGTAGATGGACAGAAGTAGACAGATTGGAAACACATTTGCAATACAGTGAGAGTTGTGCGGGCACTCGTACAAATGTGGATAACCTGTGACACTGGAGAGAAAGGATTGGATTGTCAATCCAATCCAATCCCTATTTGACTTACGAAGGCTCTCCACACGGTCATTGAGCTCAGCATAAGTCACTCCAGGAACTCACTACCACCACTATTCGTGGGCCAGTGGGAGAGACGGATTGAGGGCAGATCACTGGAGTGATGAAGGCGCTACTTGATGCGGCACTACGTATGAACCCGATCTTGAATGAGAGGGAAAGACGGGGCAGGCAGAAGTCAGGCCTTGAACGTCGTGCGGAGGAGAGGGTGGTATTGTAGGCTTCCCAGCGCCCGACGTGGCTCTGAGAGGTGAGGCGGGGTCTAGATCCCTCACGCTCAGCACAGCCCCGCCCCTGTTACCTGAACGCCCCACAGCAGTGCTCAGGGGCTGAGCGGCCGGGGTGCCCCACCGCCGGCAACCACAGCTTCCTCCTCTGCCCGGGACCTCTGGCCGGAAGCAGTCCTTTCACCTTAATAGACCCCCCTCCAAGCCTTTGAGTATTTCGTATGGGTCCGCCCCCAAGCTACGGCTGGGCTGTTGCGCTTGCGCGAGGGGTCGCACGCAGTCACGCGCCGCCGACCGCTTCCGGTGCGCCGCGAGGGCAGCCGGGACGGGTCTCCCTGGCGATCCGTGGTGTGCTGCTGCTCAGCGGCCAAACCGGTCCCTCGGTGACGACTGTGTATTTGCTGTCTTCCTCGAGCTCCCCGGGGCTTGACCCCCGGGGCCCTCGGCAGGCATCGGTGAGGAGCCTGCGGAGCGAACCTGTGCTCCTACACTTGCCCTTCACGACTCCATATCGCGACTCCGAGGAGGGGAAGCGAGGGGGGCTGTCGCGACTCCGCGCCGTGTGTCGCCGGGCGGGGCCGCGGGGCCGGGGCTCCTCCAGCCCCCGGGATGCGCGCGCGAGCCCTCGCCTCCACTTCCTTGTTGCTGCTGTCACGACTGGAGCCGCCTCTCGCCGACAGCGGGGAGCGCGAGTGCGCCAGCCAGGGACCTCGTCGAGCCCCCGGGCCGAGCGCCTCCGGGAATGTGAGCGGCGCTGCTTGCACGCTCCTCCGGGTAAGTCCCGCCTTCGAGGGTCGCGCCGAGCCGCTGGGCGACCTCGAGTTGGCTGCTGCGGCTCTCTGAGCCTCGACTGACTCTTCCACAAAGTAGGGCCACTGAACCTTAGTGTCCTCCTTCCGCAATCCGTATGGGACATTCGGATGTCCCAGACGTCTTAGCTTGACCAATACTTTGTCTCGTTTGGCTCTTGCTTCATTCATGACCCAGAATGAGGGAAAGAAGCTAGCCCAGAGTCAAACTGTGGCCCATGGCTGAGCCCTCAAAGGCCATCTCGTGAGATTCCAAGGAGGATGTGATGGGACAGAGAAAGTGTCTCGCATATTTCAAGTATTGACCTTAACTGTATTTTACAGATGAAATAACGGAGACTCAGGGTAAGTAGACTGCTTAAGGTCATAGGGCCGCGTGCTGGTGCGACTGTGTAGCCTGCACTAGAACCCGGATTTTCTGTCCTCCAGAGCCTTTCGTTTTTAACCTTTGTATTGTCCTGCCTTTTTTTGCATTGCTATACTGCGGCCTCCAGTCTGATAACAAACTTGGACCCAGGCTTAGAAGAGGGTCGTAAAACAAAACCCTAGGGTGTTCTCTTCCTGCCCTCAGCCCAAGGTGGTTGTAATGACTGTTTCCTAACCCGTTTTGCTCAGAGTGCTTAGTACCCTATATGCCATTCATTACAGATGCTCTCCTGCAGTTACTGCCCTGCTCCACAAGGGTTTCAACCGCCCAGAAGTCAGTTAAGGGCAAAAAAGAGCAGTCCCCACGTAGCCTTGATTTGAACTCCTGCTTCCCTTATCATTTACTGGCCTATTGTTTACCCAGCCAAGTTGTAGACTGTGTTCTCTTCCTGGGTTGCACTATGGCAGTTAGAATGTAGGGTTTTTTTTTTTGTTTTTCTTTGTTAGTTTAGTTTTTGTTTTTAATGGGAAGAGGAATCGTTTAGAGATGACAGAAAACTAGGAAGAACCTTAAGAAAAATGTGTGCTTAACCTGGGGTATATCCTTAAAACTATAGGTGAAATACAGTGTGTCTGCATTTTCTAGGATAGTTTTTGTTTGTTTGTTTGTTTGTTTTGCTTTTGCAACATTGTGAAAAGAATTCTTGCCTCCAAAAGACTAGGAGCCACTAGGTTCATCCTCTTCTCACAGTAGAAACAGTTGAAATTTAGGTTGTGGAATAGACTTCTCTGGGATCATAAGGTTAGCGTTTAGGTCTCTTGACTCCACATGCAGTGCTCATTACGCCTTATTTGTGGAGTGAGGTCTAATTGAGAGGTGAATGGGCTTTGTACTGCACATATCAGTCCCATATTTACCACCACAGCTGCCTCTTCACATAATTCTAAATTTCCTCCTGACAGATTTTCAGGGGCAACTATGTTATTTCCCTCTTGCAAAATTCAAGTGGTTTCTGTGAGCCTTTCTCGCTCCAAGGATTGAGACTTGTGGTAAAACTCCAATTTAGAACTTGGCTACAAAAAAAGCTAACTCTTCTTGAAGTAGTTATTAAGTTTTTTTATGCCTCTTTTCCTAGACATAAAAGCTGTTAGTAGATTCTCTGTTTGTTAGCCCAGCACCAGAGAGCTGATATTGGTTGGTGAGATGACTGTTTAGATCTGTGCTGTCTCTAGCTCCTAGCCTATGTTGCTATTTAAATTAATTACAATTGGCCAGGTGTGATGGTGTCTCATGCCCGTAATCCCAGCACTTTGGGAGGCCAAGGCAGGAGGATTGCTTGAGCCTAGGAGTTTGAGAGCAGCTTGGATAATATAGTGAGATCTCATCTCTACAAACATTTGAAAATTTGCCAGACGTGGTGGTGCACATGTGTAGTCCCAGCTACTTGGGAGGCCAAGGTGGGAAGATTTCTTGAGCCTGGGAGGTGGAGGCTGCAGTGAGACAAGATCGCATCACTGCACTCCAGCCCAGGGGACAGAGTGAGACCCTGTCTTAAAAATAAATACATTTAAAATTAAAACTAATTCAATTCTTCAGTCACATTAGCCATGTTTCTTTTTTTTTTTCTTTTGAGTCGGAGTCTTGCTCTGTTGCCCAGGCTAGAGTCCAGTGGCACAATCTCGGCTCACTGCAAGCTCCACCTTCCAATTCACACCATTCTCCTGCCTCAGCCTTCAGAGTAGCTGGGACTACAGGCGCTCGCCAGCACGCCCGGCTAATTTTTTGCATTTTTAGTAGAGACGGGGTTTCACCGTGTTAGCCAGGATGGTCTCGATCTCCTGACCTCGTGATCTGCTTGCCTCAACCTCCCAAAGTGCTGGAATTACAGGCGTGAGCCACCGCCACCGAGCCCGCACTAGCCATATTTCAAGTCAGCACGCCTGGCTAATTTTTTGCATTTTTAGTAGAGACGGGGTTTCACGCTGTGTAGCCGATTGGTCTCAATCTCCTGACCTCGTGATCTGCTTGCCTCGGCCTCCCAAAGTGCTGGAATTACAGGCGTGAGCCACCAGCGCCAAGCCCGCACTGGCCATATTTCAAGTGCTCGATAGCCATATGTGGCTAGTGTACTATGTTTGACAGCACAGAGTAGAACATTTCCCATCATCAGAGTTTATTGAACGTGCTGGTTTGGAGAGTTGCCAGTAGGAGATGGGTAGCAGTGTAGCATAACGAAAGAAGGCCAGGGAGTTGGGATTTTTAATTGAAATCTATCTCTCAAGTCCCCTGGTTTGGGCTTGGTGGCCTTGGGAAGGTTGTTAAGCATCTCAAGACACAGTATAAAGTCTTTAACAGAGGCCAGATAATGGTGGGCTCACCGCTTGTAATGTACAGCATTTTGGGAGCTGAGGTAAGAACGAATCGCTTGAGCCAGAGAGTTCCAAGACCAGCCTGGACAACATAGTGGAGCCTCATCTCTATTATTATTTTTAAATTATAAAAATGTCAAAAAATAAAAACTTAATGAACTCTTTCATTTTTTTTTCCTGCCTGCCATTACCTGACTTTAGGAATGAACCCAGCTGGGTGCAGTGTAATCCCACTCACGCCTGTATACCAACAGTTTGAGAGGCCAAGGTGGGCAGATCGCCTGAGTCCAGGATTTTGAGACCAGCCTGGCCAATATGGCAAAACCCCA